ATTGTCCAATTGTTTATTTGAATTCTTATTCCGGATTAGTTGGAGACATACACTAGGCTATATCAGCCCCACCAAAAATACTTTTCACCAGCCGCCACTGGGTCCTGTATACCTTTCAGGGAATTCATAAAACTGAAATCCTCTTCTGGTAAAGCCACTCAGTCTATGGTTAGAGGAGACTGACCCCCTTTGACCTGATTGTTCTTTCAGTCAGCAGCTGGAACATCTGGAACAGCTTCTCTCTCACTATCCTCCACTTTTAACACATTCAGAACTAAAAACTGGTTAAAATCAAATCAGCAATCAGCTCATTAGACCTTACCGATCACCTTGTGCATGACGGAGCCAGATGTCAGGATCAGGTGTTCCTTTGTACATATCTGTACATATATGCTAATGTCTCTGTTTGGACTGTAGGTCCTGCCCTTGGAAGGATGTAGCCTCATTTCTTTTACATTTTCTATGTTTTATCTTTTTTTTTTCCTTTTTTATAAAGGTAGCTAACACTGACACATTTACAGAAATGTTCATAAATGTGTACTGGCAAATAAACGGATAAATAAATAAATTAATTCTTCAGTGTGCATTATTACAAACCAAAGGAGTCTAAAATGTTTGTTGAGCCAACTAAGAGGAGGTGGATAATTTCAATGGTTTGATTAAAACTGGGGGAAAAAAAGACCTTTAAGCTGAAAGTGAGTAAATAATAATTTGTTGAACCAGACAATTAAAAGGGGCCATAAACGGCGGCCTGTGGTGAATCCATTCCAATGATAAACTGGAACCAATTAGGATGAGTTTCAATGACTAATTAAGATCTCTGAGTGATTCCAGGACAGTGGGGGGATAAATTAGCTGGAGGGAGAGTAGATGGACTCACCTGCTCTGATGGCTTGTTCAGTTTCTCTGAGAGTGTAGAAAACGTCTCCCTGGAAGCTCCTTTGGTTTTCAGGCTCATCAGAATCGCTCGATCTTCATCTCTAAGAACAAGAGACTCAACATCAATCCTTCACGCTTTACTTGCTTAGACATGGCCTATGCTCAACATGGCAGCTAGAGGGCGCTCCAGCAAGCTTAAATTAGGAAACTAGGGCTGCAAATAATGATTATTCTGCAAATTGATTCATCTGTCAGTTCTTTTTCCTATTAATCAGATTTTCAATTGAGTTTATTTATATAGCAACAATTCACAACACATGTCATCTCATCAATATCAATTCAATATTTTCATTGCATTTAAAATAAGTTCAACAAAACTATTTTAAATTTCTTCTTCATTTTATTTTGAATTGAAAAAGCTTCCTGGATGGGAAGTGAAGCGTCCTCGAACTTGGAATACAGTCCAGTGGTTTGTTTGTTTTACTTTGACCTGGATGACTGAGAATCTTCACCAGCAGGTTTAACAAAAATGACTGAAACAAGCAGAAGGTCTGAGCTGATGTGACAGCTTCAGTTTTCTGCAGTGCTGATGAAATCCACCATTTTCCTTAGAAAATGGTGGATCAGTCTGGATGATCCAGTCGTCTCTATAACGTGCCTTCAGATGTTGGCTGAATGGAGGGAATCTGCTTCAAAATGAGGAAGCAGCATCCAGACCAACGGTTCTCTGGACCCGCTCCATCGCTCAGCTGGTTCTAGCTTTTCTTGGATCTCTTTATTTTTCTGTTAATAATCTTTCTGTCCTGCTGCTGCCTGCACAGGACAAGATATCTGCAAAAATACAGTTGAATTGGACGGCAAGTTAAATGTGCTTAAAATGCAGATCCATCTGAAAAGTAGAAGATGGAGTTATTCTATATGGCACTAAAGTTATGCATGATTCAATTCTATTCAGTTTATTTCTATAGCTCTAATTCACATGATGTCATCTCAAGGCACTTTCCAGTTCACCAGATCATCCAGTCAGATTGATTCAAATGTTTTAAGGAAACATTTTCAGCCAATTCAATATCAACCAAAATCTTTATCTGTGAAGATTCTGGATCTTCCAGCTGATGGTCAAGCTTGAAAAGTCCAGCTTAGGCAACAGTGGTTCTGATCCCTCCCACTCAAACGCCCCCAGGTGACCTCCATGGCCAATCCAGTGGGAGGGATCAAAGCCACCTTTTGTCCCCTTAAAAACTTTCTTATAGCTGTTATATCATCCTCAGTGCTCCTGTCTCCTCAGAGAGGAGAAACGTCTTCTACAAATCTTCCCCTAAACTGAACCCTCCAAGCTTGACCAACCAGAATCCAGCAATCAGAGGAGTTACCGACCTGGTCCACGCCATCACCACCTCGCCCTTCTTCCTGACGATGTTCTTGGCGGACAGGCTGCTGGGGGACAGAGCTGAAGGTGAAAGGTTCTTGGTGGGATGAGCCTCCTTCTGACTCTCCTCCTTTCTAGACCGCTTGGCTTTCAGTTTATCCTGGCCTCTTTTCCGTTTCCTGAGCGGGTCGCGGCCTCTGGTGGTCTTCTCTGACGAGCTGCTCGTGTCGATGGTGAGACTCCTCTCTGACTCGGACACGTTGGCGTCGTCCATAAACGCCATGGAAGCGCTTGCTTTGTGCTGTGCTTTAGGGGGAGTCACTTCTACTCTCAGCTGTGTCCTCTCTCCATCTGTGACGGTTCCACTGTGGGGACTCGGAGACGTGGCGTTATAACCGTCCTCTGCTGGCGTCTTCGCAGATGGGGTGTCTGGTTCTTGGTTGGATGAATGGCTGACTGGAGCCACTGCCGGTTCCTGGGTGTCTGATCTGGAGTCTGGCTGACGAACCTCAGGGCTCTGGGTGAGATGGATCTGGTTCTCTGAAGGTGGGACCATGCAGCGACCGCTATCGTTCTGACGTTCCTGAGAAGCGGCTGCATCTTCCTCAGACGGCTGACCTTCTTCTATCAACGTCTTGCTTAAGCTCTCTTCAGCGATCAGGGTGGTTTCTGCAGCTGAGTTGATCTGACGGATCTTGACGATGAAGTGATCGTTGGACTTCTCCATCACCAGCGCCTGCATGGGAACGTGGGGCTTGAAGGCAGGAGCGGGCGTCTCTGAGGTCGTGCTTTCTCTAGAGCTGCAGCTGGAGTTATCCAGGGCCAGGTGAATGTCCTGCTCTGTAGCGTCCTCCCCGTCCAGCAGGGCATCCTCACTGATGTGTGCACTGATAACACTGTCTGGAGTGGACACTATCGGTCTGCTAATGTCCGCTGGCTGCAGGAAGCTGAGGTGGCTGTCGGATTTAAGAGGCGATGGGATGGTTAGAGAGACTGCCAGGTCTTCAGCTAAAATAGAAAAGGTTCTTTCTGCGGCCAGGGATCGGCTCCCGGATGGAAGCTCTAAGAGGCAGCTCTCATCAAACAGTGCTGGGTTAAGGTGGATGTGATCCTTGGCACACGGGGACGACCTCTTTCGGGGTGAAATGCTGGACCAGGTGGCGACGAGTCTGGGTGACGCATCGGGCTTGGACGGGGAGGGGAACTTGGACGGCGTGGCGAAGCCGAGAAATCTTTCCCCGTCCTTCCTTGGAG